CTGCTGGGTTTCATTCAGTTATCTCTCCTCCTGATATTGATTATATTGAGATATTTAGGAATCCTTGCTCGATCCATGTGTTCACTCTTTGAATTTAACATTTGTTCTCTATCACTCAACTTCCATTTTTCTCTGCAGTCTGTAAATCTTGTACCAAATAGTTTAAATGTAAACATTTTAAAAAAATCTTATGCCTCATGCCTTTGATTTTGCATAGGGCAATTTTAAAAAATGTTGTTCCTGTCTAAGCTAAGCTAAGTTAATTCTGGTTAATTTTGACAACCTTCCTGTTGTTGTATCTTGACCGTTTTCTCTCTTTTCTTTGGCTCACGTCTTGCTGTTATGGGGCTAAATCTACCAGTAATAAATGACTTGTTTAGTTGTATATGTGCTAACTTTATCAACTAGCCCAGTTTTTTACCTAGTCCTTTAGCCTATGTTTTGTTATAAATTAGTTTTTGAGTGTTGACTGCCTGCTAACAAGCTAATTATTTAACAAAGGTTGTGTTTGTGATGGAAGCCTAGTTGACAAATATCCACTTGTTGTCAAATTTATGGTCAAATTCCTTTTCAGACTTTTTTTTGTTAAATATTCAGTAGGGAGCTAATTTAATCAGATTGGTCAGCGAACAGCTTTAGTCAAAGAAATGCAAAAGAGTAATGTTATCTTGTCAGATGAAGATGGGATATCCAAGATGGCCGCCCTGTGCCGGCTCCACTTCCAATTACTGCCTAAAGGAGAGTAAAAGGATCCAGTTACTGTAGGAGTTTGATCTTAGACACATCCTGTAAAACAGTATCCTGAGCAGTTAGAGGCTTATTTTATACCAGAGACACAGGAGGAGGGTGAACACCCAGTGCCATGAGACGCAGGTAGTCCTTTACATATAGATTATCTGTTTACATGCATAAAAACTATTTACGCAGAACTTTGGCAATTGATGATGTAAAGGTTTTTTGGACAGGTAAACTAACATTTCAAAAGTGCATACAATCAACTCCTATCAATCATTTAATATGTGTGTCAAATAGGTTGCTGTATTTTAGCATATTTACTAAAATTGATGGATGCAGACAAATCACATATAAAAGAATATATATTTTTAAATCTACTGTGTTAAAATATATAAAAAAAATTGTAAGTTTTTTTTAAACCTTACGTGACATAAAATTGTTTCCACAGCTTGTCTTTCTCTTCAAACTTGTTATAAACCTGCACCAATTCTAGTTTGGGCTCCTGTCTAGGTTTTGTGTCCTGTTCCTTCACAGGCAGAGGAGGAGGCTGCCCGCCTGGCATCGATGCCAGCCTGGAGGAGAGACATGATGAAGAAGAAAATGGATGAAGAGAGGTGAGTAACCAAACCACGATTTTTTTTTTATTTTTATCATTAGCCACATTCTGTGTGGTCTTGCTTTATTTTCGTACTGTAGTATGACCATTTAAAAGGAAGGCTGTGCTAACGAGGATGACTGTGTGTAAGTACAAACCTTTAAAGGTTCTTGTTCAGTCAGACAAGTCTAGATTTCTGTACGTGTACGTTCTGTAAGTGTGTCTTTTTTTGAAAGAAATAACATTCATATGATTTAGCACATTGACAATTTATTGACATTGATTTAATAATTTCTGGTAAAAAAAATATTAACAAATGTGTGCAGTCAACTGTTAAATATATATAAAGTGTTTTTTTTAGATATTTACACCTTTTCTTCCTGTGCTTATGTCCTCCTGATGTGACAGGGAGCAGAAAAGGTAAGAAAAGAATAGTAGTTCCTACACAGTACACAGGAAAAAAATATAATTTGTGTGAAAGTGTGTATCATTTAATATTTTTCCGTGACTGATAAAGAAATTATTTAGATTTGGATAGATCATCTGTACTAGGTATTTCTTTGACTTGTTAAAATTGTCACATTTTCTTTTCTGTCATATTCAGTGTTAATTCGTTTGGGATTAAATGAAAAATAATTCAACATGAACGAATGGAATAAATGTAGAACCAAAATGTGTCTAATTGTTTTCCCTATGTTTCTGAACTATTCTTGATGGATCTATGTAGAAAAGCTGAAGAGCAGGCCAAACAGGCCAAGGAGATAGAGGAGAAGACCGAGCTGGAGCGACTGCGAACCCTCGGCTATGATGAAACCAAGCTGGCACCCTGGCAACGGCAAATCATCTTGAAAAAAGGAGAAATGGCCAAAGATTGAACTGGTCCACCTCCTCTTTTCTGCCCAGGACTTACCCACACTGCCCTCTTCAGCCCAGGGATGTCACTGAATGCCTCCCCTTTTCTTTAAGCCTCTGCTCTGTGCTGTGAACTTGACAGAAAAACAGCTTGTCTCCTTTGAATCCTCTAAAATCGGGGGACTGAGCCAGGGTGCTGGTGTCCATGTGGGCTTCGAAGCTTAGCTTTGCTAACATAAAGCAGTCTAACTCTACACATTTAATCTGTGGACTCTAACTCTTGGCAGTGATTCACTACTAATGCATCTGTCCTCACATAATTTAAGTTTTAGAATAATTAAATAATCTCTCTGCTAATCATTAGAAGCTATTTTGTATTCAAGAGAGAATGATTTATATGCTTGTGAGCATTATGTAAGAGGGATGACCTATTAATCTAGAAAAAAATTCTTGCTATTTAAAAATGACATGGAAACAGTCGGCTAAGCCGCTAAGGCATTAGACAACATCACATCAGCGTCGCATTAGAATCATATCCACGACATTTTGTATCAACCTCACATAGACGCATTTTCTGAGCAGCCATGTTTCAAATAATAACATTAACCAAACTGGTACTTATTAATAGCTTGCTGTCTCTGTGGCCTATAAGTGGTTTGTTTTAATATAAATGATGTAAAACACACCATATACAGTAGTGGTGCAAGTTTTGCTATATCATTTTTCAGCACAAACAAATACATCTTCATTATGCTGTTTGTGGCCTAAATGTTAGGTTGTTGGGTTCATACATTTAAAATGTTTTATAAATGTTTCATAATATGTAACATGCATTTCAACAACAGGTTCCCAAAAAACTCCAAATATCATTACAAGTGTGGTGCAACATGAAGTGTTTCCCACAGTACTTTTTTAACACCTGGTTTATGTTGAAACCACCATTTCCAATCATTTGTTTTTTTTTTGTCTTTTTTTTAACTTATTCACTTATTTTTAACTTACCCAGAAGGGTGTGGCTTATGGAACTGGTACATGTTGCATAACTTGTCATGTTAATTTGCCCCAGGTACCAGGTGAAAAGCTCAGTCTACACAGGCTCCTCTGTGGTTCTGGGTCATGGATAAGAAGGACATCAGTTCAGTGTGCTCTCCTGCGCTGGCCTTTGTCCCACTAACCCAGAGGTTGAATTTTTAATGAGCAGATCTGTTTACAGAGACTCTGTGTCTGACTGAACTAGCTGTCATATCAGAATTGTTTCCTTCATTTACAATGTAGTTGCAGTAATTTGCAGTCTCACAGCCAGCTTGTCTATGTGAACGGCATTTGGTTTCACTCGGGCTATGAAGGCATTCACTTTCAATATGATACACAATCGTTACACAATACACTGCACATTACCTCTGTATATTCTGGATAATATTCCTCCATAACTGTAGTGACACAAATGCCAAGTTAATTAATAGACAACTATCTTTATCCATAATGTCAGTGGTAAAGCTTCAGCTTCTGCAAGTCCATATATATATATATATAT